ACGCAGGCTGCCTTTACTATCTGGGAACTGGTTTTCCCAAATTAATTACAGGTGCATGGCTAACCAGTTCACTGTTCAGAGCTTTCCACCTCTTCAGGCTGTAACATGTGGGCTTGTACCAAAAATAAGCAGATATTTTCTAACATTTCCAAAGCATATTACAGCCACTTGGAACATCCACATAGCCAGAGCTTGCAATCCCAACAAAATCTAAAAGTTAAAAATTCTACAGACAAATACTGAAAATCTCAGTGGGCATAGGGGCAACTAATGAACATCATCTTAAGAAGCATTCATAAGGTACATAAGAACAGGACTCTAGAAAGACCTCCTGCCATTCTGCTTGTAGTTACTACCGTGCTCATCTGGGAGGTATGAATAGAAATGCCGCTGGTTCTAAATCCTTATTGATAGTCTAAGTACTAAATACATAGCTATGTTATGTTGTTCACTTCTACAAAGCTAGTCTTGGTGGACAGGACAGATTCTTTAGCTAATTAATGCAACTGGAACTACGCAAAAACCTATTAAAAAAAAAACCAGTTCAAAGACAGCAAGAAAATTTAAAGATAACCTAATGGGCTCATAAAGATACCATAATGTGCTCAATCTATAGCACACATGACAAATCTAATGAGTAACCATTTGCTATTAGTAACATACGTGATGTTTTGTGGGTAGTCAGATACCACAAAACGTTCTGTACTGATGTATAACACAGCTTCAAAGTTCCTGCTCTGCTTGCTGTCTTAAGCTCCTAGCGTGAGAGAACTACTAATCTGTAAGGATATCTTGTGCTCAATTCATTTTATTATTTATGTTAAGCAAAGGTTATTTGTTTGCCAAATAAGATATAAAATAAAATATAACTTTTTGCTTGGTACTTTGAGGAGTCAAAGTGTCATTTTACTGTCTCATGTAGGTAGCTGCTGTTCTGTTTCCCACTTCAATAAGATCTGGGCAAAACTGCATCTCCCCACCTACTCACATTAAATGGACAACAACAATGTTGAAACAAATAGAACTTTAATAAACTCACAAGCATATAAAAGATTTTTCTACCACTAGCAACAAACAACTAACAAAGTGCAATATAATAATAATAATAATCATCTTTTCTCTTGAGGAAAAAAAAAGGAAACCAAACCAACTCCAAACAACAAAAAGAGAACGCCCCCAAAATACACTCCCATAACACTCGAGTAAAGGAGACATTAACTTTTTTTTTTAACCATTCTGTGGTCTATGATACCTCTCAGACTGCATTTGATGGCATAAACCTTAAGAGATGTAAATACATGAAAAAGTAGGCATTACAAGCCAGCGATTTCTGCAATGTTCGTTCTACAGTCCTGCGACAGTACACTTACAAGAAAACGTAGGGTTCTTCTGAGGCAGACCAACCAAGTTACTCATTTAGCTACAACACCTGCTATCTGGCACGCCGAATCTGCAAACATCACCTCCCCAGAAGGGTACAAGTGTCCCTAAAATAAGGCTAAGAACCAGAGAATACTCTCCCCCAAAACTGTCACAGATGGCTCAGAGTTTGACATCGACTGATGTGGTTATTTCCCCCCCGGGAAGTTACCAATTCTCCTATGGCTGCTGCCAAAACAGCAGCAGCTGCTCTCCGCATTCACCATCACCACCACTCCATGTGGCACAGCTTCCTTCAAAACTTGGAGGGAAAACTGACTCCTGCTGACTTCTAACATTAACAAACATTGCTCAGTGAGGTAACCAAACTGCTAACAGGCAAAGTCACAACTCTGAGTTTTTAAAAATTTTTAGAAACAAACCGTGATTTAGATCTTTACTAGTAATTAGTTCCTAAGAAGTATGGAACTGTTAATATAAAAAAAAAAAATACTGTAAGCTTTAATAACGGACCTGTTGATGTTTATTTACCTGTTGATTTTTTTTTCATTTAGCACCCATCTTGTAATGCATATTGTGTGAAAGAGGTACAAGAGCAGCAGAAGGAATGAGAGAGAGAGAGAGAGAGAGAGAGAGAGAGAAGCAGGGCCATGTAAAATTCTTACACGACTCTCTAAGGCAAAACTGATCAGAACCTGAAGAATCAAAGTCCCTTCACATCTATAATTTCATTAACAAAATACCAAGAAATTTCCTCCCCTCTAGATTAAAGCTTCCTTTAAAATTTAACAAACACAGTGGGCAGCACCTACTGGACCCAGTCTGCAAATGGTCAATTTATATCAACTTCTACCATGACATCCATGGCTTTACTCTAACAGGGATTCCTCTCTGGCAGACTCCGGCAGTAGAACAGTCTGTTCCAGACTGGCACAAAATGCTCCCTTCCCCTTTCCCTCTCTGTACTATCCTCTAGAATAGTGCAATTTTGAAGGCAGCGATGTCACTGCTCCAAGAATTGGTAAGCAGCTTGTGAAGCTCCATCCACTAGGAGCATGAAGGAGAGGAATGATGAGATCTCTGGTCTGCATCCTTTCTTTTGAGACAGCTGCTTGATCTGTTGTCAGCACTACAATCCAACCTCCAGCAAGCCAATTCAAAATGGCACCTGGCAAGTGAATATTCTTCATTCTGCAGCTGAAATCACAACGCTTAACATACTCCCTCCAGACACACGTGTTCCTTTGGCCTGCAAGCTGCATGTTAGGAGCATGTGCTCAGTTTGGCAAAGCAATCTACAGCTGGCCTAAGTTCTGCTTATGTTAGGAGCAATCTAAATGAAAGATCCAAAAGATGCTATAAAATCCAAGAAGCAGAGAATGTGAAGGGAATAGGAACACGTGTACATAAAAGGTAGAAAATACAAGGACAGGAAATTGTGGGAATGACTTGTAATCAAGCTTTGTATCTTGTAACTATACTTCAACTACAATGCAAGCCAGCTGAGTGAAGAGATGAGCAGCAGCAAAAGATATGTAAAACCCCAACACTTAACCGATCCCAAAATCTTGGTCTGTCATTGCCTTAGAGCTCACGTATCTCACATTGAGGTGACAGGGTAGGATGGGATGGGAACATAAGCCTATTCATGTATGTATCTAGAAGTACTGATGTGCCTTCTGCATAAAGATCTTTTTGTTAAAGGTATACTGCAGGACTGAAAGAGATCTCAAGAGATTGCCTGCCCAGTGTTCCACTCCAAAGCAAAAGCTTGCCTTACTTGTCCCCCACAGTACCACTGGAGGAATTGCACAGCTCCCCTGGGTGAGCTGCTCCAGTGTTCAGCTACCCCTACAGCTAGAGCTCCATAACATTCAACCAAAGGAAGTCCAGAAAGGTGAGGATTAATTTGCAGCTGGAGATGAAGGACAACCACCATCTTCCTACACATGTGAATACTGTTACTGTGCCCTCACATATTTTCTAGAATAAGTAAACCCAGTTCTATTACCCTTTCCCAGAACAACAGGATTTTTAAGCTCTTTATTGTTTTTGTATTTTTCTAATTTCCCTCAGTTGTGTTATTTTTCTTAAACTCAGAACTGGTAACTCAACAGACCTGAACACAGGAATAACGACAGCCCAAGTTTTACGTGCAATTCCTACACTAATACATTTAGTACTTGCATTCTTTGTAGCATCACTTTGTTAATATTTTCTGCTTATGACCTGATTATAGACCTCAGTGTTAGGTCTGGCAAGTAACAAGGAAGCTTAATCAGTTACTATGTGTTTTGTACTGATGCATTGGACTTTCTTCAAATATGCCTTATTCTTATTAAAAATACGAAGTTTAATGCTGTTCCCAGAGCGCTCACGACCCCTCCCAGACTGGCATCAGTGTATTCCGTATTGTAATCCAAGATCCTCGTTCAGCGAAAAACAGCAGACACCAACACTCCTACTCAAAGAAATAATAGCACCCTTTTTCTGTTCCCAGGTTGTGCCTGCACTCACACTTGCTTCCTCCTTGTGCTAGCATACGCGCAGCACACAGATCAGGAACTGATCCAAATGAAAGGCAGGCAGCTGAAGCACCACCAAACTACAGCCTTGAGCCATTAATGGAAGTATTAATCAGTAGTAGATCCAGAACAATTCCCTGATGTACTTTATCCAACAATTTGGCACAACTGTTTTTCTGAGGAATTTGCACTGATTTTTGCTAACCACCTTATCCTGTTGATGCTTGCAAACTAATTCCTAAATAAACAAACATCTCTGGTATCTTTCCTGCTACCAAAACAGCTGCTAATGAGTCTGTAAATTTCCCAGGTTTTCCCCCTCCCTTTCTTTAAGGGCAAGTATTCCTTTTTCCCTTCTTTTGGCTATCTATCTTACCCATCCTTGAATTTTCAGAAATCATCATTGATGGCTCAGAAATTGTCTCAACAGTTTCCTGGACTACCCCAGGGAAAATTTTTCCAGGCTGTGCTAGGCTGAGTATGTAAAACTTTGAAATTACTTGCTGATTATTAGATACATATCAAAAAATGAGGGCACCAGGGTGTTTTATTGCCAGAGTAAAAACTTCATAGTGTTAGAAAAAGTGACTCGTGTTCCACTTGTGTGCATCACCACATATAAAAGGCCTCCTCATAAGTTAACCCATATAAACAGCAGCATTGTTACATTGGTGATAATCTGTCTCCCAAATAAAAGAACAGCCTCACACACAAAGAGAACATACAAGAAAAGATGAAGGGGAATGTTCTGTTCCTGTTTGTATTGACACTCTTTTGAAAGAATCCCATGTTATGCTCTGCAGTCATTCCAAACTTATTGCAACAAAACATGCTGTATGGGGTAAAAGTTGAAACTCACCTAGCAGTGACAACACCATTACAGAATGAGTATGTTCCTCTACAGTGTTCCTATAGCACTAGCATGTAATTACACTTCATATATAATGACAAAACCTAGAACACACCCAGTCTAAAATCAGGACCAGAATGTACCAGATAATGGACCAGTGTTTAAAGGTCAGTGAAACATCCCTGAATTACAGGAGTATCTGGTCTCCAAACGTCGGGGTTGTTTGTACTTCCACCGTTTCGTACCTTTTGAATCTCCTCGGGCAGCGGGTGAAGGGGGACGTGCTGCTCCATGGCCTCCCGAAACTCGGCGGCAGGGTCAGGGAAGCTGCCCGAGGTCCCAGGGTCAGAACCTGCCGGCGGCAGCGGGGCCGCGCGTTTCCCCAGGCCCACGCGCGGAAAGGCAAGCACACGCAC